ATGCAAATGGAAAGACTGAGACACACAAGCTCATTGTTGTGATTACAATATTAATATGAAGTTACCTACTATTCAGTCTAGATGCACATATTTTTAAGCTCCCAGAAAAAAACACTCATACTTACAAATTTCTCTTTGTAGTAATACATGTATTCTGTAAATTCTTAAAAATATTCCATTAAAATGGCAAGTAAAAGATTCTGCAAGGTCATTTCAATGTTCTCTAAAAAAAAAAAAACAAAACAATATCCTCTAGGCAGTAATATTACTGGCTTAACCATACACTTGAATAAACATTTTATCAGTAGAATTTTGATTTAGGAACAGTACAATATTTACCTAATCCAAGAGGGCTGCACAATGTATTAGTACTGTGTGACTTATATTTTTCCAGTTTGTTTTCCTCAAGATAACATCCAGAGTTCTTATCAATTTGTAGCTTTTTGACATAGATTTGACCTCACAGAAATCAGTTACCCATCCTTCCTGTTTACAGATTCTGAGGCTATTTCCAAAATTTGCCAAGTCTCTGCCTTAAGAAGCTTTTTTTCCTCTGACAGTTTCTTCACTTGTCTATTCCATGTACATTTCACTATAAGGAGTATCAGCTACAGGTGAAACAAATTCACTTTTTACACCACAGTCTGTGAAACCAAAAATCCAAATTCCACATGTGAACTGAGGAACATTTCCTACCTTCCTTCAGGTAATACAGGCACTTGTAAACAACAGTTATCTGGATACCACTATATTGCTTATTGGCAACAACATTTTTCACTAAAAATATTAAATAAAATATAAAAGACAAAATTATAAATAAATTTATATCAGACACTTCATTTAGAAAGTAGGTCTCATTGCAAAATTACAGTAGGTTATATAAAAAAAATGAAAAAAATAAGGGTAAAAATATCCATCATTAAACTTTTCAGCAACATCTACACAGTAACTCAGGCTGCATTTAACCTGGAGCCAATTAACAAAACTGGTTATGCCTATGACTCAGAGTGCATGTGGAAGAAAAAAATAACTAAATGCAAACAGCATTTTATTTTGGCAGGTGAAGTATTCAGAACTTGATAAATTTAGCTGTGTATCCATGCCACGTAGACAAAAGCATCCGAGGGTGAGGTGCTCTACACTGCTAGAAAGAAAAAGCTCACGACTTCAACTTCCAATTCACTTCTTGGATGCCTAATGACTGTTCCAGAGGGCTTTTCAGGAGGAAGCAGCTGGACAAATAATCCCAGATCAGTGTCCGATATTTCTCCCCTTTCACAAGAAACAACTGGCGCAAGATGGTTCCCCCTTTTTTTCCTCCCTACCAGCTGCAGAAAAAGGCTCCAAATATCCAGGACTCTGTAACGCAAGTTGCCTAGGGGGAAAAGAACCAGATCAGTTTTTCCACTGGAATTCTGAATTGGCATTAGACAAGTACATAAATCTGAGTCTTAAAAGCAAACACACATGCAATCAAGCAGCCAAACCCGAGTACAGAAGCCTCAGTTAAACATTCATCAACATTCTGAAGAAAACAGCAGGTATATTTATCAGAGAACACAGCGTATCAGCAAAAACGTTTTCCTGTCTCTAATTTCCAGGAATAATAAACAACCGGAAAGAGGCATTTCTCATTTTACTGGGAAAGATAATAGATCTGCACGAGGCACCTGGGGAGGAAGGCGCTGATTTGGGCCAGGGAGACGGAGCTTAAGCACAGAACAAGCCTAGAGGAGCAGCGGGAGCCGCCTAGGGAAGCCCCCAGCACAGCCCTGGGGGGAAGCCTCACTGCTTCGGGGCCGGCTGCCTGTGAAGTGCGCGAGCAGAACCCCAGCTACCCGGCCCAAATGGGGGCTTTTGGTGTGGAGCTGCGGCTGCCTCCGAGAAGGGCTCCGACAGCCCGCGCTGGGCACTCGCCCTGACTTCCAGGGGAGCCGCGGCCCGCATTTAGGCACTCACCAGCCCCGCCACTCCCACGCAACAACAACAACAGCAGCCGCAGCAGACACCGTCGCTACGCCGGAGGCAGTTCCCCTCGACCGCCTCGCTACGGGGAAAGGAATGAGGTGGGCCCCCCAGGCCCACCACCGCCAGGCCACGCCTAACGGGATCTGCCCTCTCCCGCCACCCAAGAGCCGTGGGAAACCGAGACGCGAGAGCGACGCGCGCGTGCGCGCACAGACACACACACACACCCCGCTCACCTTACTCCCAAAATGGCGCCGCTCCTAGACACAATCCTCTGCACACTCAAGCCTCGCAAGATTGCCCGTACGACCCCGCGAGCGTCTGGGGCGGAGCTTCCCGGCCACCACCAAGAGTGCTACCCCGCCCTGCTGGCGGGAGCCCCCCTGCCGTGACGTCACGTGAACAATACCGAACGTTCCGCGCGGGGCTGTGGGGAAATCCCTGGCGCCGCTGCGGTGGCCCAGCTCTACTGTGTCACTCTTACTGACACCAGCCGCTGCTCGGGAGACTGGCCTGAGGAGAAGACGGGCACTCGGGAAGCAACGACAGCCCTAGCTGGCATTTCGTACCGCTGCGGCATGGATTGTGTACTGTAATGCCGAAACCGGGATGCGGGTCATACAGACCAGCCTGAGTGGGCACCGCGAGGCCCTAGCTGACCGCTGGAACGTCCATGCGCGGCATACGGCCAGGTTCCTGCCTCGCTGCGGGCCTGCGACTGCGGGCCTGCGACTGCGGGCCTGGAACACCGATGAGTGCAACCCTGATCCCACCTGCCTCGAAAGCAACCTGTTTGGTAGCAGGGAGAGCACTGCTGCCCTCATGAGTGAGGTGTGTGGGCCGTGGGGGTACAGTGTCCCTGCAGCTGCAGGCAGAGAGAGCAGAGACTGAAGGTCTTCTATACCTCATTGACACTGAGCAGATCTCGCAAATGCAACAATTAAATCATGGCACCAGCAGGGCCTGAAGCAAGTAAAAGAGTCTATAACCACCATTTAAACAAGAAAAAAGATAGCATTGTAAGAAATAAATGAAACGGTTTTATTACAAGCAGGGTTTCCATGATTTCCTCATGATGAGGAGTTTGTGATCAGGGGTGTTCTACAGTTGCCTATGGCTGCAGTTCTGTTGCAGCCATGACCTGTTAATAGTTGTGATCATGTTACTGTTGCTTACCATTGCTGTGTAGAGGCGGACGGGGAAGCCTGTAAGACAATGAGACCAGCCAGGGCTCATTGCCAAGGGACCACACGGCTGAGACAGGGAAACAATCTGATAGATTGGTTAAAACGACCAATGGACTGGAAAAGGAAAGTGTGAGCCCACCCTGAGAGACCCAATCGGGCTCAAGAAAAAGGCTATATTGCCTTTTAAGGAAGGGAGCAGAGCTGAGCATGGGAGGGACAAGGGAACAGTTATGCAAATCGAGAGACCTTAAAAGAACTGCCCCCCCCATCTCAGGGGAGCTCTCAGGCCCTGGCACGAGGCAAACCTGGCCGCACCCAGCATGCACTGAAAATAAAGTTCTTTGTTTCACTTTATTTGGCCGTCTATGAAATTTTAATTTGAGATATTTCTCACAGCATCTTCATTGAATTGCTAAAAATGGCTTCAATTTATGAAATTAGGAGTAGAAATATGTTTAATGTGTATGTAGTCATTTAACATGCACTTTTTTAAAAAAACATGATGGATATTTTCACCTTGGTAGCTAAATGTCTGAATTAAGATTTTGCAATTTTGAAATATTTTTGCAATTTTTAAATTTTGAGATCCATCTGTCAGAGAAGGGTAAGAGCATCTCCTGTCATAGGCTTGCCAAGCTGGTAAAGAGGGCTTTACACTCAAGTTGCTGGGGAAAGGGGACCACAATCCATCTCACTCCTACCACTTTGATGCCAGTGCCAGCAAGAGATGCTCAGAGCCTGCAGAGGGATCAGAGGTCAGCAGGAGAGCAGCTGAAGGGCAGCACCAAGGAATTCCAGCAACTCCAGACAGTAATTCAGCTTCATCGTGGGCCAAACTTAAATGCCTCTATGCAAACACACGCAGCAAGAGGAGTTACAGATGTGCAAACGTCTACAGGGCTATGACCTTATTGGCATTGCAGAGACATGGCAGGATAACTCTATGAGTGGAGTGTTGGAATGGAAGGATACAGGTTCTTTAGGGAAGACAGGCAGAGGAGACGAGGAGGCAGTGTTGCCCTCTGTCAATGACCAACTGGAGTGCATGGAGCTCTGTCCGGGGATGGATGAAGAGCTGACCGAGAGCTTATGGGTCAGGATTAAAGGGAGGGTGGGGACAGGTGATATTGTAGTGGGGGTCTGCTACAGGCCACTCAACCAGGAAGACAGATCTACAGACAGATAGGAGCAGACTCGTGTTCACAAACCCTGGTCCTCAAGGGGAACTTCAACCACCCTGATGTCTGTTGGAGGGACAAAATAGCAGGCCATAAGCAATCCTGGAATGCATTGATGAAACCTTCTTTCTCCAAGTGGCAGAGGAGTGTTATGGTTTAGGAATGGTACTCCCCAATTCAGTACCCCCACCGAGACTCTCCCAAACCAGATGCCACTCACTCACTTCCCCCTTCCCCCCCACTTCCTGCTCTGGCAGGATGGAGTTGAGAATTGGAGGAACAAAGGGTGAAAATCGTGGGTTGAGATAAGAATAATTTACTGGAAACAGCAATGAGATAAGAAAATGAAAAATGAACGGTAACAGCAACAATATTAGTAACCAAAGGTATAAAATGAAGAAACTATTTACACAGAAATCCACAACAAATACTCTTTCCCGACCACATTTTTCTCCCCATTTTCCTCTTGGAAGCAAGAGTGAGTCCCCTTCCCCCACCCTGGCCAATAACATCCAGGTACAAGTCACTCAACCTCCCGGCTACTGCAAAAAATTAACCCTATCCTGACCAGAACCAGGACATTATCTACTCCTTATTCTATACCATCTACATCATGCCCAGATCCTATACCTTTCCACTATATACATGTATATATAAATATATATAGATTTACACAAGCACATGTATCATTTCCATAGTCAATGGCCATCCCTTCAAGATGTCTGTTGAGTTCATTTAGTCCATGACTGTGGGTTCTATTTGTCCTAGATGTCTTCCAGGGCAGGAGGGCTGGTGTGCTGTTGGCTGGTTGCAAACTGCATCAGGAGTTCATGACTGGTGTATCTGGAGCAGTCCATGCTCATTGTCCATGGTAGTTATGGCATACAGTGGCAGTGTCATTCAGCAACCAATATCATACAGTTCAACATTACAGACTATTCTCCCCCAAAAATCAAACCCCCTTGAAGTACACATTGTGTTTCCCTGTTCCTCTGCAGTATCCACCAAGTGCACCTAGGTCCTTGAGCAAAAACAGTCCCACAGATGGGTTTGCCTTTGCTTGAGGCAGGACTAATCCAAACTGTCTTCCCTTACACATTCCTCATATGCACCATGGGGACTTTATCCCCTTCTATGGTAAGTGGAGGTTCTGATTGGGCAGGGCCAGCTCGATTGGTGGAGCCTCTAGTGTTAACTAACCAGATGGCCTTTGCTAAATGTAGATCCCGATGTTTGAAGGTCCCACAACACATTGCTTTCAATGTGGGTTTTAACAGTCCATTGTACTGTTCAACATTCCCAGCAGCTGATGCGCGATAGGGAATATGATACACCCACTCAATACCATGCTCTTTAGCCTAGGTGTCTATGAAGCTAGTTTTGAAATGAGTACCACTGTCCGACTGAATCCGAGAAATCCGATAAAGAAACTGCCCAGAAGCTTTTGGTCTTTTGAGCAGCAAAGGTATTTATTTGACGATGTCGGGAGTAAGCGTGGTTCGTGTTATAAGTTACTAGCAATGCCTGGGACAAATTAAAGAGGCCAATTTATAATAACAAGTAAATTTATTAGCAAGCAATAGATAAGCAAAACTGATGCGTCAGGGCAGCTGTGGAAACAAAAGCTCCGCAGACGGCTTGCGCCCGGAAAACCCCCCAGAGCTCCCTTTTGTATAATCCGGCTTCTGCATACGTATTCCTGGGTTGTGTTTTCCGCGCATGCATGGCTCAGTGGGTCGGGGGTCTCACTCCGCGGGGCGGGGGTCTCTGTGATGAAGGCTCAAAGTCTTCCTCCATGTTCGCAGGATGACCCTGCGTTTTGCTCATGCACTGTAAGAGGCATTTTCCTCCTTCCCCTGTTTTATCAACACCCGTTTGTCATCCTGACTCTCTGTTATTTCCAGATAAGCAGGTCTGCACTCCCAGCTCCTGGCAAGATTAGGCTTATCGCTGAGTTATGCCAGCTATGCATAGTTTTTACGAACAAAGTCTAGCTAGTTTATCACAGTTCGCACCACAAATCTCTTGTTCGAAGGTATTGGTGCAAAACAGGGTAGTTTATACAGTCTAACTTCTATGATTACAACATCTTAACATACATATTCATATGATTGCAACATCTAATCATACATATTGATAATAGGTGGAGTATAGGCAGAGCTCAGGCGGAGCTTGGGGCAGAGCTTTTCTTGGCCCTTAATTCTGGGGATACATCTGCCTTTCTTCATCCTTGAGTCTGAGGTCTCTGTAGTCTTCCTCAGTGTGACCCCTCTAACTTTCCATTGTCTTTGCCCCAGTCACTGAAGCTTGGAGAGAGCCTTGGCTTCAGGCCTATTCCACCTATTCAAATGTCTACCTTAGCTTACTTTGCCCTAATTTATTACCCCTAAGCCCATTGTATAATGCTTCTAACATTCTTCTCTAGTTTGGGTCCACTGAACTGAACAGAACAAAATTTCCTTTAGCAACATAGGCAGAGCAGATATGGAGGAGAGAGTTTTCTCAGAGCAAGATACCTTGGTTAACTCTCTTTAGGCCTTGCTCGCGTTTCATGACTCAGTTCATTCTGGAGTGCCATGTCGCCACAGGACTTGCTTTTCAAGGCCCAGGATGGTGTTCTGGGCACTGGCATGAGGCACAGGGTATGTCTTCAGCCATCCAGGAGTTGTTTTCACCATGGTAAGCATGTAGCACTTGTGTCATGATTAAAGTAGGTTTTGTTTTCCATTCCCTTTTTTGACACTGTTTTGGAATACTGTTTCTTTAAGAGCGAACCTCTCGCTGCAGCCATGTGGTTGGGGAGTGGGGCGGAAGAGGAAGACACTACCAGGAAGGAACAGGAAGATCCTCTTCATCTTGGAGCACACGGCTGGTTGTTGGGGCAGAGAGAGAAAGATGCACAGACTGTTGGAGCCACTCCCGGGAGAAACTGCTACACCAGCACCTTTCCCTGCACCCCCACTGGAGACTTCTTGAAAGGGTGCTGCCCGGGGCTGCAATTGCCGCAGCCAGAGAGAAAACGAAAATAGAACTAACTCTGCAGTCCCCGTGTCGTTTTGCAGTCCCTGCCACCATCCTACCTCTTGGGAGTTGCGAGAAATCATAATTGCTACTGAAACCAACAAGCTATAACTGTTACTGGGTTCATGGGAGGATTGGAGCCGCCCCCAGGAGCCACCACTGCTCTTGGAACCACCAACTGCAGCTGCTGCCCTGCCGCAAGCCGCTCCAAAGCTTGCGCAATTGCTAACTGTTTTTTGCTAGATGTCGCCAGGCACATGCTGCGCCACTTCCACAGGAGCCGAACTGAGCCGAGTTGGAGCAGAGCTGAGTCCCGCAGGTGTCAGAGGCAGCTGTATGGGAACAAGCCCTAGCCGAGCCACGAGAAGCTACCTTCTTCAGCAATGGTCTGCGGATTTGCAGCCAAGCTGAATGAGGCCTTAGCCTAGGCGAGTGATGTGAACTGAGCAGTTTAATAGTACAACTTTTTGTGGACAAAGATTTTTTCCTAGGTTTTGGTTTTGTCCCTGGAATTTGAGGGGGTGTCGGGGGGAGACTAGAGACGATCTCTGTACATTGATGGTTTGAACCGTTCTGTTTGTATTGTTGTTGCTGCTAGATTTCTTGTCAGTAAACTGTTATTTTTTCACTTATATCTACTCACATTTTTTTCTCGGTGTATTTGTGATAAACTAAGCTGTCACTCTCTTGCGTACACTTTGGGGGGGGCTTTTGTTGGGCTATGTCTCTGAGATAACTTTGTTGGGCTGCCAAGGTTTGCAAGGCGTCTTTGTGTCGGGACCGCGGTGCCCTGGCTCGCGGTCGCTTTCCCGTCTGGAGCGTTGGGGGGGGGAGGTCGTTTTGGGGGTTCCCTTGCGCTCCGCTGATCCCCACGGCTGGGCTGTGAGGGAGGTTGTTCTGGGAGGGGGCGACCCCGAGCCGGCGTGCCCAAGACAGGGGGACTGCATTGTTGGAGCCAATGGAGTCCGGAAAAGACGGCTGCAGAATAGCAGCCCCCCCGGAGCGTGGAGGTTGTAGTGGATTAAAGCCAGAGGTACAGATCTGCTTTTCTAGAAATAACAAAAAGTCAAAATGATAAACGAGTGCCGATAAGACCAGGAAGGAAGGAAAATACCTACGACTACGCATGTGCCAAGCACGGGGTCATTTTGCGGACACAGAGGAAACTCTAGCCTTCATCACGGGAGACCCCAGCCCACAAACGAGACCCCGACCCACGGAACTGAGCATGCATAAAAGACACAGCCCAGGACCATGTATGAGGAAGAAACTAGGCACTGAGCATGTGCAAAAGACTATGTACGGGAGCCGAGGGGATACAAAAGGGTAGTTTGAGAATTTGGGCGCGGAGCCGTTCGGGAACCTTTTGTTCTCGCAGTTGCCCCTCGGCGCGCCGGCATTGCTTACCTATTGTTTGCTAATAAATTTACTTGTTATTATAAATTTGTGAGAAATAAATGAAACGGTTTTATTACAAGCAGAGTTTCCATGATTGCCTCATGATGAGGAGTTTGTGATCAGGGGTGTTCTGCAGTTGCCTATGGTTGCAGTTCTGTTGCAGCCATGACCTGTTAATAGTTGTAATCATGTTAGTGTTGCTTACTATTGCTGTGTAGTGGCGAACCGGGAAGCCTGTAAGACAATTAGACCAGCCAGGGCTCATTGCCAAGGGATCACGCGGCCGAGACAGGGAAACAATCTAATAGGTTGGTTAAAACGACCAATGGACTGCAAAAGAGAAGTGTGAGCCCGCCCTGAGAGACCCAATCGGGCTCAAGAAAAGGTTATATTGCCTTTTAGGGAAGAAAGAGAGCAGAGCAGAGCTGAGCATGGGAGGGACAAGGGAACAGTTATGCAAATCGAGAGACCTTAAAAGAACTGCCCCCCCCCCCATCTCGGGTGTGTTCTCAGGCCCTGGCACGAGGCAAACCTGACCGCACCCAGCGCGCGCTGAAAATAAAAGTTCTTTGTTTCACTTTATTTGGCCGTCTTCGAAATTTTAATTTGAGACATTTCTCACAAATTGGCCTCTTTAATTTCATTCCAGGCATCGCTGATAATCAATAAAGTTATTGGTGAAAGGGGGAGAGTTTTTTTAAAAAAGGAGAGGTGACCCGTTTGTTGGAGTCTCTGCCCAAGTATTTGTCTTTAAACTAAAACAGCTTGCCTTGGTGGGTTTGCAGGAGTGTGATGTAGTCAATCTGCCAGGCCTCTCCATATTTATATTTTGACCCTTGTCCCCCATGCCACAGAGGTTTTACCTGCTTGACTTACTTGATTGTAGAGCATGTTTCACAGTTGTGGTTAACCTCAGAGATAGTGTCCATGGTTAAGTCCACGCCTCAGTCATGAGCCCATCTGTATGTCAAATCTCTTCCTTGATGACCTGAGACATCATGGGCCCACGGAGCCAGAAATAATTCACCCTTGTGTTGCCAGTCCAGATCCACCTGAGACACTTAAATCTTGGCAGCCCTATTCACCTGTCCATTATTGTGATGTTCTTCAGTAGCCCAACTCTTGGGTATGTGTGCATCTACATGATGGACTTTCACAGCTAACTTCTCTACCTGGGCAGTGATGTCTTCCCACAATTCAGCAACCCACATGAGTTTCCCTCTGTGCTGACAATTGGTCTTTTTCTATTGGCCCAACCGCCCCCACACAGTGTTTGCCACCATCCATGAGTCAGTGCAGAGGTCGAGCACTGGCTATTTCTCTCGTTCAGTGATATCTAAAGCCAGCTGGATGGCCTTCAGCTCTGCAACCTGACTTGATCCACCTTGTCCTTCAATAGCTTCTGTGACTTGTCACGTAGGACTCCATATGGCAGCTTTCCATTTTCGATGTATCCCTACAATAAGGCAGGAATCATCAGTTAAGAGAGTGTCACTTCATTTCCTGGTAGCTGATTATATGGTGGGGCCTC